TGCCTCATCAGACCACAGAAGAGGAGGGGTGATCGTCATTCAACACAGTGGCACAAGTCTCTTCCACGTCTCCCACGTCGAGATTGAGAGTTTGCTGTGATGTAATGTGATGTGCCATGGCTAGCTAACTCCCTCTCACCCGTCAGTCCGCCACCTCACCTCAAGGTGCCACTTGGATAAATCTGGTTGTGAATCTGGCAAAGTAGGAAGTGAATTTAGCTGGAAGAAAAATAACAGAGCCTGTATGACATCATGGTTTATGTATGGCTTGACTATCCTCTCCCTTTCTTCCTCTTCCTTTCTATCGGTTCTTCATAAGCAGTGGGCCCACTGACGCGCCAAATCCCAGCGGTTCTGCTCCATCTCATCTGTCACATGGAGATTCTCTCTTTAATAATGTGGCTCGGCGGACTTGGAGGACTCTGAAGATGTCAGAGAACACACAGCACTCCCTCTTCAAAAGCGTTCAGGCTCGCCGCTCTTTCTTTATTTTGTTTTCCATCCTCCACCTCCCTGTCACACATGTCTTTTTATCTATTTTAATAATAAAGGACTTAGGTGGTGTGCAGAGAAGGCACACAGCAGTCCCTCTTCAAAACCTTTCATACTCACCCTCTCTTTCTTTATTTTCTTCCCACTTCTTTCTCTTGGCAGTCACATACAGTAATATCATATATTCTCTATTTCCCCCCATACTCAACTGGCGGACCGGTTCCGGACCCAGAACAGGGTCAATACGGACCGCAGGTCCCAAATAAATAATAATAAATGTATTTTTTGTTTTTGTTTTACTCTGTCGGGCTTCGACCCCTGGTATAATATAAACACACATAAGACATGGAAGAATGCGTAGAATTGCAGGAAATTAGCTTTAAAAACGCCCCCAAATATATCTCTGCCCCATGCAAAATGTGTAGAATTGCGAGAAATTAGCATTAAAACTGCAAGATTTTCTCTCCGCCTGTAAGACGGGTGTGAACAGTTTGGGAGTGGGGGTTTGTTACTACGCCGATAAATTACATTATCCATCCGGACCTTTGCCACCTAGGAAATTTGTGTGACCAGACCTTCTCAAATAGTACCTGCTCTATTTTATAATAAAATGACTTAGGTTATGTGTATTCTGAAGGTCTGTCAGATGAAACAACACAGAACTCAATTCCATGAGATGTGAAAGAAAAGAAAGATCAATAGTCGAGGAAAGAGACAGAAGAGGAGTTTCAGCAACTAGGACAGGAGTGGCGGATAAATCCAGAGCAGGATGAAGAGAAAAGGGAGAGTGAGACAGGGACTGGGACAGAGGGAGAGAGACCGGGACAGGGACTGGGACAGAGGGAGAGAGACCGGGACAGGGACTTGGACAGAGGGAGAGAGACCGGGACAGGGACTGGGACAGAGGGAGAGAGACCGGGACAGGGACTGGGACAGAGGGAGAGAGACCGGGACAGGGACTGGGACAGAGGGAGAGAGACCGGGACAGGGACTGGGACAGAGGGAGAGAGACCGGGACAGGGACTTGGACAGAGGGAGAGAGACCGGGACAGGGACTGGGACAGAGGGAGAGAGACCGGGACAGGGACAGAGGGAGAGAGATCGGGACAGGGACTGGGACAGAGGGAGAGAGACCGGGACAGGGACTGGGACAGAGGGAGAGAGACCGGGACAGGGACTGGGACAGAGGGAGAGAGACCGGGACAGGGACTGAGACAGAGGGAGAGAGACCGGGACAGGGACTGGGACAGAGGGAGAGAGACCGGGACAGGGACTGGGACAGAGGGAGAGAGACCGGGACAGGGACTGGGACAGAGGGAGAGAGACAGGGACAGGGACTGGGACCGGGACAGAGAGAGACCGGGACAGGGACTGGGACCAGGACAGAGAGAGACCGGGACAGGGACTGGGTCCGGGACAGAGAGAGACCAGGACAGGGACAGAGAGAGACCGGGACAGGGACTGGGACAGACAGAGACCAGAACAGGGACAGAGGGAGAGAGACCGGGACAGGGGGAGACCGGGACAGGGACTGGGACAGAGAGAGACCGGGACTGGGACAGAGAGACCGGGACAGGGACTGGGACAGGGACAGACAAAGACCGGGACTGGGACAGGGAATGGGACCGAGACTGGGACAAACAGAGACAGGGACAGGGACTGGGACAGAGACTGAGACAGACAGAGACAGGGACAGGGACTGGGACAGAGAGAAGGCAAGAAAAGGGCCAGTCTCATGTGGCGATGCTTGACTGAATATGGACATCATACACTTCCCCTTAACCAGTGGCGTCAAACACAAGGCACAGAGAGATATGTTTTGAAATAATACCACAGATGAAGTGTGAAACTGATAACAATATCGAATCATATCCGTTTCTCTTGAAACTAAACAGTTTATGCCGAATCATCTATAAATAATAATAATAATAATAATAATAATAATAATAATAATAATAATAATAATAATATGGTAGATACAGTTGAAGTCTGAAGTTTACATACACTTAGGTTGGAGTCATTAAAACTAGTTTTTCAACCACTCCACAAATTTCTTGTTAACAAACTATAGTTTCGGCAAGTCGTTTAGGACATCTACTATGTGCATGACACAAGTAATTTTTCCAACAATTGTTTACAGACAGATTATTTCACTTATAATTCACTGTATCACAATTCCAGTGGGTCAGAAGTTTACATACACTAAGTTCACTGTGCCTTTAAACAGCTTGGAAAATTCCAGAAAATGATGTCATGGCTTTAGAAGCTTCTGATAGGCTAATTGACATCATTTGAGTCAATTGGAGGTGTACCTGTGGATGTATTTCAAGGCCTACCTTCAAACTCAGTGCCTCTTTGCTTGACATCATGGGAAAATCAAAAGAAATCAGCCAAGACCTCAGAAAGATAATTGTAGACCTCCACAAGTCTGGTCCATCCTTGGGAGCAATTTCCAAACGCCTGAAGGTACCACGTTCATCTCTGCAAACAATAGTATGCAAGTATAAACACAATGGGACCACGCAGCCGTCATACCGCTCAGGAAGAAGGCGCGTTCTGTCTCCTAGAGATGAATGTACTTTGGTGTGAAACGTGCAAATCAATCCCAGAACAACAGCAAAGGACCTTGTGAAGATGCTGGAGGAAACAGGTACAAAAGTATCTATATACACAGTAAAACAAGTCCTATATCGACATAACCTGAAAGGCTGCTCAGCAAGGAAGAAGCCACTGCTCCAAAACCGCCATAAAAAAGCCAGAGAAATGTCCTCTGGTCTGATGAAACAAAAATAGAACTGTTCGGCCATAATGACCATCATTATGTTTGGAGGAAAAAGGGGGAGCCTTGCAAGCAGAAGAATACCATCCCAACTGTGAAGCACGGGGGTGGCAGCATCATGCTGTGGGGGTGCTTTGCTGCAGGAGGGCTGGTGCACTTCACAAAATAGATGGCATCATGAGGAAGGAAAATTATGTGGATATATTGACGCATCATCTCAAGACATCAAGACAATTAGGGCGGCAGGTAGCTTAGTGGTTAAGAGCGTTGTGCCAGTGCCCGAAAGGTCGCTGGTTCTTATCCCCAAGCCGACTAGGTGAAAAATATGTCGATGTGCCCTTGAGCAAGGCACTTAACCCTAATTGCTCCTGTAAGTCGCTCTGGATAAGAGCGTCTGCTAAAATGTAAATCAGTCAGGAAGTTAAAGCTTGGTCGCAAATGGGTCTTTCAAATTGACAATGTTGTGGCAAAATGGCTTAAGAACAACAAAGTCAAGGTATTGGAGTGGCCATCACAAAGCCCTGACCTCAATCCTATAGAACATTTGTGGGCAGAACTGAAAAAGTGTGTGCGAGCAAGGAGGCCTACAAACCTTACTCAGTTACACCAGCTCTGTCAGGATGGGCTAACATTCACCCAACTTATTGCGGGAAGCTTGTGGAAGGCTACCCGAAACGTTTGACCCAAGTTAAACAATTTAAAGGCAATGCTACCAAATACTAATTGAGTGTGTGTAAACTTCTGACCCACTGGGAATGTGATGAAAGAAATAAAAGCTGAAATAATAATTCTCTCTACTATTTTTCTGACATTTCACATTCTTAAAATAAAGTGATGATCCTAACTGACCTAAAACAGGGAATTTGTACTAGGATTAAATGTCAGGAATTGTGAAAAATGTATTTAAATGTATTTGGCAAGTTGTATGTAAACTTCCGACTTCAACTGTACACATTTAAACTCAGTTTTTCACAATTCCTGACATTTAATCCTAGCAAAAAGTCCCTGTTTTAGATCAGTTATCAACACCATTGGCGAGCGCTATACACTTAATCCATGTTGCTGCTAAAAACTCAGGTTTTAAAAATGGTCCATCTAGCAAGTTTTTAGGAGTTGAGAAATAAATACTATAGATAACTGCGATTCTGCTCTTTAAACTGATTTCAAAAGGTGTGTTTTCCCACGACTACATTAAGAATGTTGTGCAATGACTGGGCATTTTTCTCCTTGTGCCACTCGAAATTTGAAAACGCCTCGAGAGGTATATTATTTTCTTGCTCGGAATGCGACAATCTGACCAATTGAATAGGTCAACTATTATTCTATGGGGTTGTCTGCTATTGATTACTCATGTTGTTGGCTGAGGAAATATTAAAATGTGGACAACCATTTTTCATTATATAATTCAAAAATCGCATCAGCAAAGGGATCAGCTCCACCAGGCTCTCATTTGGATCATAGGTGCTGGGTCTAGGACCTGGCGGGACCCGGCCCAATGCTGGGTCTAGACCTGGCGGGACCCGGCCCAATGCTGGGTCTAGGACCTGGCGGGACCTGGCCCAATTTAACCACTGCCTGTAACACGAATTACAATTGACGGACAAAATGGTTTTAATGGTGTTAGTAGTAAATTACCTGGTCCATAGCTTTTTATCATTACAAAAATGAATTGGATTTACAAGAGTTTTCCACTATATTTTGAACTGTTTTAAATCGTGTGGAGATTCACCTGTGCGTGGTTCCACAGTGCGGTTGCCATTGGAGTCCATGAAGATGAACCTCCCTCCGGTGAAGTCGGTTCCGTAGTCAGACAGGTGTAGTCAAAGGATCTCTGTAGGTTACCTGGTAGGCAGGTAACACACAAGACAGGTTGTTATTATCTCCAGACACACTGAGTGGGATCAAACCAAATAACATCTGGGACATAACATATTTGTAGTCAAATTAACATAATTAAAATGATCTTCTTCAATTTGGGAACATACCCCCAAAAATAGTGTCTGTCTTCTGGATGATCATGCACAAGGTTCTGAATAAAATCACACTGTTTTACATTAGTTTCCCCAAGTCTTCCAGTCAGATATTATGTAGATTAGTCCTGGGCTGTAGAGAGAACAGTCACATTGTAGCAGAGAGGCCAGGGGTGTATGAAACCACCTCAGCAGTGTGATCGATGGGGAGGGAACCAAAGACGCCGAAACCCATTTACATTTAAATTAGGTTGGGCCAAATGGACCTAGGGCAGGAGAGAAGGGGACCGATGGGGGAGAGGGTTGGGGTTTTTGGATGACTTTATTTTTTTCTCCAGCTGTTGTGGAGCTATTGCGGAAGACTTCCGAGGAGATATGACCAGAAATGAATAATGGTCAGAAATAAAAATGCGAATGAACAATTCCCAGAGACACACACACAACCTGATGATGGAGCACGAGTAAATGAACAATGCTCAAAGATGCTAAAACACACGCGTTAGCGAACAGACAAGATAAACATTTCGACAGATCCTTCGAGAGCCATTATCTGTAGTTTTCAACGTGTACAAAAAACGCCAACAGTCCTATTTATTGAATAGCCCAATTAATTTCAAAGAGTTTTCTTTGCCGAGGTCCACAGTCAAGACAGGAATAGTGAATGGGAGGAACCTGGCATGAAATGATCGCTTCATTCCATTGCCCTGCTGGCTAAACAGTAATGAGATACATTCACGTGGTGCAATCAAAGATGCATTGAATCCCACAGAAAATACTTAACTTTGGATGAACTATGAACCTACTATCAAGACCATATTTAAATCACTTTTTGGAGAGAAAAAACTAAATGAATAAAAAGTTTTACGCTCCACCTCAACACATTTCATACATTTTATTGTTCATTCCATATGTTTTATGAAGTCATTGATACAGAACTACAGTACAAAACAGTTTCAGCTTATTTACATGAATATCAAATATGTTTAATAAATATTAAAGGGGATATTTAAACACCAATGGGAGGAAGTGTAGCCTTTGGTTTAGACGAGTCTGGATACAGCCAGTGTGTCAGCTATAGTGTGAAATAGAAGGGGGCATTCATTGCATTGTGGGATGCTATGAGGCTTGACTACTTATTGACTTCAGAACTAAAGGTAATTCATGACACACGATAACGCTGAAAGAAGAAAAGTTGAAAAGTGTGTGTGTGTATAACACCTTACCTTCTATTCTGTTATCTTACCTTGTCTTTGTGAGGGAGCCAGTACTCGTCATGCTGTGTCTTGGCCAGTGTGCTGTTGATGCGTGAGAAGAGACGGGTCCAGGTCAAATGTCTCCGCTAGATACGACCACGCACCTCCCTGGAGGCTGGAAGTAATCAATCAATCACCAAATTAAACAACCAATGAAACAGTCACTCAGTCAGTCGATTTATACAGGGCTTCTTACAGTAACCTGGGCCTGTGAATTGTATTCATAGACACACACAAGTGAAAATGCATTGGAAACCAGTTTAACTTGTATTTTTGTGTTCAGTAAATGTAACCGCAAAAGTTATTTTTATGTGCACTACATCAAGACGCACAGCCATTTATCTGCAACAAGTCAATTTGATGTAAACACATCTCAGGTTGGAAAATGCGCGTTTTGTTTTTATGCAGATTTTAGAATATTTGCATGAAAGTCTGTTGCAGATTGAATGGAAACTTAACTACACACACACCTACCTGTAGAGGCGGAAGTCCTCTTCAGAGAAGACATCCATTATCTGCTCCCCAGAGTACCTGTCATCAGCCACCACCAGCCAGCCAGGCAGCCAGAGAACAGGGCTATTAGCACCATTACCATCCAGCAACGCAGACACCACAGTGCACAATTACCCAAGAGGCCATGACAGAGAAGATATCCAAACAGAGCAGGATAAAAAAAGCTGGCGGATTGCTATGCAGGAGATGCCACTGTTATGGAAGCCAGATGGTGAGTGACATCATCAATGGTTTAGTTAGTTAGTTAGTTAGTTAGGAGAGAGAGAGAGAGAGAGAGAGAGAGAGAGAGAGAGAGAGAGAGAGAGAGAGAGAGAGAGAGAGAGAGAGAGAGAGAGAGAGAGAGAGAGAGAGAGAGAGAGACCTGTAGATGTTGACAAACTGCTTCCCCATGGACAGAGCCCCAGAGTGCAGGTCCAGGATGGAAGCCTGGCGAGGCCAAAAGAGGAGAATAAGCAAACTATTAGGACTTATTTCAGTCTACTTCTCTGTCCTTCACGTTTTATTGTAGTTCTGTCAGCTACCCAGGGATACGCTGCTCTCTCTCACTAATCAGTAAATAAATCATGCTTATTTTTTCAGATGTCCCCTGTTGTTTCCACTCCCCTCACAACAGTATCTTAACAGGCCATTAACAACAGGTCTATAGAGGGTGGAGAGGAGACAGGACAGAGAGTGAATAAAGAAGCTGTTTATTTATGTTTATTTATTTTCCCATTTGTACTTTAACTATTTGCACATTGTTACAACACTGTATATATACATAATATGACATTTGAAATGTCTTTATTCTTTTGAAACTTCTGAGTGTAATGTTTACTGTTAATATTTATTGTTTATTTCACTTTTGTTTACTATCTACTTCACTTGCTTTGGCAATGTTAACACACGTTTCCCATGCCAATAAAGCCCTTAAATTGAAATTGTAATTGAAATAAATTGAAATCGAAATTGAATTGAGTGGTCAAGCAAGCAGCCATGAACGATAGTATTACACAGTAGCTATATCAGCCCATTGGAACTGAACTTTGGATGTTGTACCAATAGAATTATGGTTGTACCACCCTGACCTCTAGTGGAGACACGGGGAAGATACAACTGGAGTCTGAGTAACAGTCTTCATCCTAGCTCCTCCCTGGTCCTGTTTAAGTTCAAATATGTGTTAAAAAGTAAATACTCACCCCTCCATCTGAACCAGCTAGAGCCAGCCCCATCTCTGCCAACCTAAAGAAGTAGAGAGATAAGTTACAGAGAAAAGGAGAGAGAGAGAGAGATAGAGAGAGAGAGATAAGGGAGAGGGGGGGGGGGAGAAGAGAAAGAGATGGTTTTGAATCCTTCACCTCCTGAGGGCCATGGCCTCCTCCCTGGGCACCGAGTTGTCTGTGACGGCTCGGCCACACGTCTGAGGAGTGCATCCTGGGGAAAAGAGCATCTCACATCAGCTGCAACATCAGAGTAGAAACTTCCACCTGCCTGTTCACCTTTGTTCAAATCACCATGGCATGCATAACTTACAAATTGTGGCTTTAATACTAAACTGTGTTGTTTTAAACCCACCTGGGTAGCGTTTGTAGTTCTCATAGTCCTCAGAACACTCCACAGTGTAGACCCTGGGCTGAGCAACCACCTCGGCCTGTCTGACCAGGGTTTCTGTGACGTAAGGGTCCCCTGAGGCCAGGTAGAGCCAGGTGAGGGTCCCCTGAGGCCAGGTAGCCAGGTGAGGGTCCCCTGAGGCCAGGTAGAGCCAGGTGAGGGTCCCCTGAGGCCAGGTAGAGCCAGGTGAGGGTCCCCACCACAGCCAGGGCCACCACCACTGCTAGTGATGGGCTATATACACATCCACCATACAGGTTGGGCTATATACACATCCACCATACAGGTTGGGCTATATACACATCCACCATACAGGTTGGGCTATATACACATCCACCATACAGGTTGGGATATATACACATCCACCATACAGGTTGGGATATATACACATCCACCATACAGGTTGGGATATATACACATCCACCATACAGGTTGGGATATATATACACATCCACCATACAGGTTGGGCTATATACACATCCACCATACAGGTTGGGATATATACACATCCACCATACAGGTTGGGATATATACACATCCACCATACAGGTTGGGTAAGAGCCAATCACTGATAACATCTGTTATCCTGGAACATCAATATCTTGGCCTTGCTAGAAAGTGGAAAAATAACAAATGGTTCCTCCTGGCATATAATGATTCGCCTCTCTCCTCTCTCTTCTCTGCTGCAGTCGCGAGGAGGTCCTGTCCATTCAGGAAGTTTCCAAGTCCCAAGGGTTAGAGGTAATTCCTCTGGTGCAGACGTTTGGACACATGGAGGTGAGGGAGAGAGAACGCATATCTGCCTGCCACCTGTTCATATCATACCCCACTTTATAATGGCAGAGATTGAGGCCAATTGATGTGGTTGTATTGTCTTGGTATCTTTGATATTATTTTATTTATATTCCTCCTTTCTCACCCACCCTCACTCACTGAACTTCTCACTCCCTCTTTCCTCCCTCTCTTCCTCCCTTTCTCCCCCCTCTCTCCCCCTCTCTTCCCCCCTCTCTCCTCCCTCTCTTCCTCCTCTCTCCCCCCTCTCTTCCCCCTCTCTCCCCCCTCTCTCTGTCAGTTTGTGTTGAAGCACAGGTCGTTGTGGGGGCTGAGGGAGGTGGCCCGCCTGGGCACTCTCAAACCCCACAGAGAGGAGGTTGTGAGGCTTGTACAGGAGATGCTTCGCCAGGTGGAGGATCCACCCAGGCAGCACCAGTCTGACGAGGTGGAATTCAAAGGAGCCAAAGGAGAGGCGATGAGGAAAGGAAGCCATATTGAGATGCATACAAGATTGATTTAGCTTTCTAATGATGGACAATGCATGACACTCCTTTAAATAAAAGGAGTCTAGACGCTGGCTGAGCGCACCTGGCCGTACGGTACAGCAGCTGTTCCTCAGTCACGTGACCAGGGTGGCGAAGGGTCAACGTGGTCATGTGGGACGACATGCTGCGCAGGATGGACCACGACACACTGAAAGGTCAGGGTACAGACTCCTAAAGTGATAGTTCTGCAAAGTTTCGCAATCATTTCAATGTCTTCGCCTGAAAGGAGTTTATGGGCCAGAAAAGTCTGCAATCCACTGACCTGTCTGCCAGACAGTAGTCTAGTAGGATTGGTCCAGCCGATGCTGTGGGACTACAACCCCACGCTAGATGTGGAAAACACTGGTAAGAACTAGTGGTTTTACTAGAACAGTTTAGCTATGCACATAGACAAACACTATATTTGCGCTTAATGTCAATGTCTCTACTCGTCCCCCTCTTAGTATCTCGATTGGAGAGGTACAGTGATGCAGGGCTGTCAGAGCTGTGGGCGCAGGGTTTGGGGATCTCTTCTGTGGAGGTGAAGACAATGGAGAGGTGAGAGAGAGCCTTCTCAACAGACAATGCTCCTCTGTAATAAGTGCATTGTGTTTTTAATCCTAAACGCGTCTCTGTCTCTCTATGTAACCTGCCCCAGCTCCTCTCCGTGTGACTGAGGTGTTTCCAGGGAGGAAGTTGGCAGAGCTGGTGGTGGAACTAACAGCCATGCTCCTAACAGAAGAACTCCGCCATTTTGAAGACATGTGAGTGAAGCCAGTAGCCACATGGGCTGGAACTAAAGCCTGCACACCCTGTAACGATATAGGAAGAGGGTCGGTGACCACTGCAATAAAGGCACACATAATGATTTCTTGATTATCACTATTAATGCCTTGAATTAAAGAGCTCTATAACCTTGATAAATACTGTAACACTGTGGTTATCTCAGGTTTGTGAGAGGCTGGTTCACTCCCTACCACAGAGAAAGACAGTTAACCCTCTTATTGCTCAGCAGTTGCAGAATCGAGCCATGATGTAAGCATCTGAATGGGAGAGAGAGAGTGAGAGAGAGGAGAGAGAGATAGAGGGGAGAGAGAGAGAGAAGAGAGGAGGGAGAGAGAGAGAGAGAGGGGAGAGAGAGAGGGAAGGGATAGAGATAGAGGGGGGAGAGAGAGAGAGAGAGAGAGAGAGAGGAGAGAGAGAGAGGAGAGAGAGAGAGAGAGGAGAGAGAGAGAGAGAGAGAGAGAGAGAGAAGGGAGGGAGAGAAGAGAGAGAGGGGAGAGAGAGAGAGAGAAGAGACAGGGGAGGGAGAGAGAGGGGAGAGAAAGAGAGGAGAGGGGAGAGAGAGAAAGAGAGGAGAGGGGAGAGAGAGGGGAGAGAGTGAGAGAGGGGAGGGAGAGCGAGAGGGGAGAGAGAGAGATCCATCCATCCATCCATGCTGACTTCATACAGTGAAGTCCAGGTAGTGAGAAAATGATTTCATGATTATCAAAAAGCTACTTTAATTGAATTCCCCTTTTTGTTCTTTTGTTACAAAAAAATGCACAAATTAATGTATGAAAATACAAAAAAAAAGAAGGTAAATCAGTACCTGCAGTCCTCCAGCAGCAACTGGACACATTAAAAAATGTTTAAACGTACAAATCTCTCATTCATCCTCTTTCTTCCAAGCAACACAAGACATCTACACTCACCTTCCTCTCATTAACAGACACAGTAGTTAAAACTGTCCAGATACAATGTAATACAGCACACCTGTCAAATATACACATTATTACTAACACAATACAGTCTATGGACAGGAATGTTACCTGAGACTGATCTTTCATATAGGGCGAGACTAAATCTGTAGCTTTCTCTATGAATATTAAACCATGTTAGATGAAGTCCTTTCAATAGGTTTTGAAATGTTTTGCCTTCCCAGTTTCTCTCTGGCCCTAGTAATAAGACCTATGAATGCTGACAGACACATGAACATGCAAGTATTAACTTTCACATAAAAACAGGCATACATTCTTAACTGATCCCTGGAAATCCTTCATGCTTGATTATAGTTTACGGTCACATGCACTCAGATGAATGGTTGTAGTGAGTAGAGTCATGCATAGAAGATTCTCACTTGAGTGGTCTCAAACACACTAAATGTGTTCCCTATTCTGTGGGCATGTTTGAATGAGTTTTTCCACACAAATACTGATGACATTTAAATAGAAAGGCACTGTAATTATAAGTATTAGTCTGTAATGCAGTTATACAGTAATGATCATTGGTCTTTAAGAACAGGCCACACACCAAACTATGATTTAGTTTAAATATTTTGTGGAAAACTACCATTCTAGAAAGTATTTAAGGCAATTTACAGTATCAGGGATAATACTATGAAATGCTGTAAAATATATTTGTGTGCATTTCATGTCTACAGTGGCTTCCTCTCCTCATCTCTACTGCACTGAGGGTTCATAGTCCCCCTCTTCTTCTGAGTCAGTGCTTGGGTCCTCTTCCTCCTCTTCCTCATCCTCTTCCTCCTGCTCCCAACGACACTGGAGCTCCTCCAGACCCAGGAAGCGCTTGAGCAACGAAGCCACCGCTTCCACATCACTGACAGAGCGGGGGAAAGAAAATGATCAAACAACTAGTTGTGATTAAGACTAGACAGCATGGCTGATTTGACTTCTATTCCATACCACTAAATATTCTACAATATTCTACAATATACTGCTGAATATTCTACAATATTATCCTATCCTGGGAGACCTGTGATCTGATCCTTTAACACAACATCTTCCATGTTATGTCTATTATAAGACCCCATCTCTTCCCCTTCCAGACCCCAGTCGTACCTGCGTCCGCCCATGGTGGCGCTCTGTGTGAGGGGGTAGGAAAAACCTGTTGTCAGCCGCAGAACCAGCAGGTAGCCCTTCCCCAGATAGCGCACCTTCTCCTCCTGAACACACACGTCACGCAGGTGCCTCATGTCCAGCACCACTGAGAGACAGAGACAGGGGACGGGAGGGAGACGGGAGGGGGACGGGAGAGAGGCAGGGGATGGGAGGGAGACGGGAGAGAGGCAGGGGATGGGAGGGAGACGGGAGAGAGGCAGGGGACGGGAGGGAGACGGGAGAGAGGCAGGGGATGGGAGGGAGCCGGGAGAGAGGCACAGGGGGGGACGGGAGGGAGGACGGGAGGAGGGCAGGGGACGGGGAGCGGAGACGGGAGAAGAGCTGGGAGGGAGACGGGAGAGAGGCAGGGGATGGGAGGGAGATGAGAGGGAGACGGGACGGAGATGGGAGAGAGGCAGGGGGATGGGAGAGAGACGGGCGAGAGGACAGGGGATGGGAGGGAGTATGGGAGGGGAGACGGGATGGAGACGGGAAGAGAAGGCCGGGGATGGGCGGGAGATGGGCGGAGGGGTAGAGGAGGCAGGGGATGGGAGGCGAGACGGGAGGGGGAATGGGAGGGAGACGGGGGAGAGAGATGGGAGGGAGACGGGGGAGGCATGGGAGGGCGACGGGAGAGAGAGGCCAGGGGATGGGAGGGAGATGGGACGGGAGACGGGGGGGGGATGGGAGGGAGATGGGAGGGAGACGGGAGAGGGCAGGGGATGGGAGGGAGATGGGAGGGAGACGGGGGATGGGAGGGAGATGGGAGGGAGACGAGAGGGAGATGGGAGAGAGAGGCAGGGGATGGGAGGAGACGGGAGGGGGACGGGATGGAGACGGGAGGGAGACAGGAGAGAGATGGGAGGGAGACGGGGGATGGGAGGGAGATGGGAGGGGGACGGGAGAGAGATGGGAGGGAGACGGGAGGGGGACGGGAGAGAGAGGCAGGGGATGGGATGGAGACGGGAGGGGGACGGGAGGGAGACGGGAGGGAGATGGGAGACAGGAGGAGAGAGGGTGAGTTTGTGGAGCAAAATTCCTGTAGCTCTCCAAGACCACGGTTGAAGACCCCTGCGTTTACTGGATTTGAAAACTCATCCCATCATCCTACCCTTATTGTTAAAGGAGAGTCAATGTGAAAGTACAGGACACATTAGGTGATGATGTTCCTCACCTTTCTCCTGGCCTCTCCTCCACATGGTGAGAATCAGGGCGTACAGACTGAAGGACTTCAGCTCAATCACATTCTTGGTTTTATCAAACACTGCCTCCTCCCACTCCTCCATGTTCTGCATGGCCACGAACAGACAGCCCGTCACGTAGAACAGCTTCCACAGGATACTGTCTGGAAAGACAGGAAAAAAGAGGGAAGAGAGACAGGTATTTTTCTGTCTTAATTATGTCAATGATGACTGGCCTAGGTACCAGACTGTTTCTGTACTCAACTAAAGCAGTGCTGTAGTATGGTGACGCCTGTAAATCGGGTTATACCTGAGGTGTAGTATGGTGACGCCTATAAATCAGGTTATACCTGAGGTGTAGTATGGTGACGCCTATAAATCAGGTTATACCTGAGGTGTAGTATGGTGACGCCTATAAATCAGGTTATACCTGAGGTGTAGTATGGGGACGCCTGTAAATTGGGTTATACCTGAGGTGTAGTATGGTGACGCCTATAAATCAGGTTATACCTGAGGTGTAGTATGGTGACGCCTGTAAATCTGGTTATACCTGAGGTGTAGTATGGTGACGCCTGTAAATCGGGTTATACCTGAGGTGTAGTATGGTGACGCCTATAAATCAGGTTATACCTGAGGTGTAGTATGGTGACGCCTATAAATCAGGTTATACCTGAGGTGTAGTATGGTGACGCCTGTAAATCTGGTTATACCTGAGGTGTAGTATGGTGACGCCTGTAAATCTGGTTATACCTGAGGTGTAGTATGGTGACGCCTATAAATCGGGTTATACCTGAGGTGTAGTATGGTGACGCCTGTAAATCAGGTTATACCTGAGGTGTAGTATGGTGACGCCTATAAATCAGGTTATACCTGAGGTGTAGTATGGTGACGCCTGTAAATCAGGTTATACCTGAGGTGTAGTATGGTGACGCCTATAAATCGGGTTATACCTGAGGTGTAGTATGGTGACGCCTGTAAATCAGGTTATACCTGAGGTGTAGTATGGTGACGCCTATAAATCGGGTTATACCTGAGGTGTAGTATGGTGACGCCTGTAAATCAGGTTATACCTGAGGTGTAGTATGGTGACGCCTGTAAATCAGGTTATACCTGAGGTGTAGTATGGTGACGCCTGTAAATCTGGTTATACCTGAGGTGTAGTATGGTGACGCCTGTAAATCGGGTTATACCTGAGGTGTAGTATGGTGACGCCTGTAAATCGGGTTATACCTGAGGTGTAGTATGGTGACGGTTGTAAATCGGGTTATACCTGAGGTGTAGTATGGTGACGCCTGTAAATCGGGTTATACCTGAGGTGTAGTATGGGGACGCCTGTAAATTGGGTTATACCTGAGGTGTAGTATGGTGACGCCTGTAAATCGGGTTATACCTGAGGTGTAGTATGGGGACGCCTGTAAATCAGGTTATACCTGAGGTGTAGTATGGTGACGATTGTAAATCGGGTTATACCTGAGGTGTAGTATGGTGACGGTTTGTAAATCGGGTTATACCTGAGGTGTAGTATGGTGACGCCTGTAAATCGGGTTATACCTGAGGTGTAGTATGGTGACGCCTGTAAATCGGGTTATACCTGAGGTGTAGTATGGGGACGCCTGTAAATCAGGTTATACCTGAGGTGTAGTATGGTGACGATTGTAAATCGGGTTATACCTGAGGTGTAGTATGGTGACGGTTGTAAATCGGGTTATACCTGAGGTGTAGTATGGTGACGCCTGTAAATCGGGTTATACCTGAGGTGTAGTATGGTGACGCCTGTAAATCGGGTTATACCTGAGGTGTAGTATGGTGACGCCTGTAAATCAGGTTATACCTGAGGTGTAGTATGGTGACGGTTGTAAATCGGGTTATACCTGAGGTGTAGTATGCAGCAGCCAGGCCAATGGACGCAATACCTGTAATCAGAAAAAGGACTAAATGCTGGGTCAATTTATTTTGACATTGCATTCAAATAAATACATATTTACACTGAATGTACATACACACACACACACACACACACACAATGATCCTACCTACAAGCAGCGACCAGGAGCGGATGCCAGGTGATCTCTTCAGGTGTAACATGTTGGAGGTGTGCTCCTCTACCTGCATATACCCCATCTGACAGACACAGACGGACAGACAGACAGACAGTAAAGTCAAAAGCTATGTAATATAGAAGAACCGGTGCTTACACTTGTAATTCTATGGTAGGTCAATGTTTACTTCCAAGGAAACAGGGAGGATGTGTGGCAGAAGTAGTGACGTTACAAGGCCTTCTGTATTTCAGATCTGCTTCCCCATTCCCTCATCTCTAACTATTTCCCGGTTCAAACATCCGGCTTTGCATTCATATAAATATAAAATAAATTGGTCATTTAGCAGACGCTCTTATCCAGAGCGACTTACAGTGACCATTATCCAGACTTCATCAGTGACCATTTTTTAAATTGTATTTAACTAGGCAAGTCAGTTAAGAACTAATTCTTATTTACAATGACGACCTACCCTGGCCAAACCCTCCCCTATGCGACTCCCGATCACTGTCCGTAGTGATACAGCCCGGGATCGAACTGCGATGCAGTGCCTTAGACCGCTGCGCCACTCAGGATCACTACCTTATTATTAAACCTACTTACCCAGCGGGTAATATAATTTTTTTGTGTGTGCCTAAGAGACAACCCAACCCCAGAGCATCCAAGTACCATATGGTAGACTATTTACGATCACTCATAATCTCGCCTATATGATACTTTGAATTAAATAATTTGTATCCGTATCTATTCATTTCTGTCTTACCTTACACTCTTCAACGAAATTCCACAAAATGATACACACAGGAAACAATGTGACAAATCGGCTTGATGATAGTGAAACTTACATTTACAATTTTTAGAGAAGTTTCAGTTCATTTCATTTTACAGCAAAAACACACAGTGGGTGGGGTGTTGCTTCCTTCCGGGGTAAGTCTTCACTGATTGGATGATGACATGAGCAGTTTAAAGCTGTTGCAATGAGGGGATTCGATTAGTATTTCCTGGGTGCCCGGGTAGGCGTGTCTTGCACCGGGTGAAAATTGATTGCGTTAGTTTTGGAACCGGGCTGCCTGCCGGGCGTGAGCCAGGTGCCCGGTTCAAAGTGAAGGCGAAGTCGGCCCAAAACCAAAGTGACGTAATTAAGCACGTGGAGTAATGAGTAGGATTATGTGTTTTCAGGTGCAAAATGTATTGCGTTTGATAAAAACGCTTCAACTGCCTTCCCAGTGAAAACTAGTTTTAAAATTCTAACATATATTTTATGGAAAAGAGACGTTGTATGTTCCTAAACAGTGCACAATGCTGCCTTGTTGACAACATGACCGAGCAGGGCAGATTACTGTTCGATTTGAGCAGGGAGCTCCCAAAGACAGTACAGTATGAAAATAGGCTAAAACTGCTTCTCCAACCACACTTGTTGGGGACGTTGGCAAACTAAACTCATGCGTCGGCCATCTACACGTTTAAACGGTCGTCTCGCGCCAAAGTGCGCATATGCAAACCTTCAACTCAAAGGCACTCCTTCATAAAAAGTTGTTTTTGGCCAAAAATGAAAACGTGTCAGTTTATCACTTTCACGAGAGTCGAGTAATGACATGTTCAGCTACTCAAGACATAGGTTCGAATTTAGGTCGTGCCTTTAGATTTCGAGAAAATTAACTAAGGAATAATGTTTCACTTCTCTCATTGACTTCTCAAACGCCAAACCCCGGCCTGGTCTGTTTGGATCGTTTCGCAAGCGTTCCCCGAAGTCTCGCAATGTTGCGCCTCTGTGTTTGAAACGGTGGCGCTCCTCCCTCACCGCTTTTGACCGTTCACATCACGGGCCAAAGACCGTTGCCGCGGCTCAGCATAATCGAATCCGCCCAATATTTCAAACACCTTGTGTCTCTGATATTTTAATAATAACACAAACACATAGAAACGCATCGTCTATTTTGCTACTATTTCTGTCAAGTCTACACATACAATTTGATGCATTCGTTGGATAAATCCAACGTCCAACACACAGAACGCGCTGCAACTGCCTCTGCAAAGCAATGCTGCAAGGCTAACGCAATGACGATGTCTGTCGAGGCGGGGAGGGTTTTACGCATGCGCCCTTCAATGACTGGTGAACACAATGGAGTCACGTATTCTGAAGTCAAGTCGTCGTGAAAACTTGTCTGGAACGCCCGACTAATTTCAACAGTAGCTGGTCTTGTGACCGAAACCGTCGCATATTGACCATTGTTGCCGTTCTGCTGTATCGTAATCACTCCAGATATTGCTGAGCAAGCTGTATGAGATCACATGCTATCCAGAACGTAGCATATTACCCCTGCTCAAACTCCCCCTTTCTTCTTGAGATGTGTTTGAAGTATTTTATTTAAAGGCAGAACAGTAGAAAACGTCCAACTGGTGAGTGCACTGATATAATATACACGTATTTATTGAAATATTTAATTTGACTAATACGTGGCTGACGATGGACCCTGGTATAGACGTCATAGCTGTAGCCTGTGCTGCGTTCATAGACGCTAGGGTTCTGGAGAGCAAGGTTGTCTGAGGCAAACAAGAAATTGCACATTTGATGGTAAGAAGGGAACATTTTTCTCCTGACTCCAATTACTGTTTAGTTAGAGAAAGCGTAATAATAGATAATTTAACCATATTACCAGGATATAAATAGCAATTTCCACCATAATTGCTTGTTCTATTTGGTCCGGATAATAGGCCTATATGTTCTCACAGAGGCTTCATCCGTTGTTTAGTAATTATTACATAATATATCAGACAATTATGATGATGATATATAATAATAATCTACTATGTTATTTGTGTCTTTAGTTACTGTATGATATGTAAGCCAATATTGAATACAATAGCCCAGGGGTCTCCAACCTTTTCTAGCATGAGAGCTACTTTAAAAATAAATTAAACATGTGGCGAGCTACTCATTTCTTGGAGTTGTTGAGTAGGCTACTCTGAGCACAGATGATTTGAGCTTTGGGTCCATTCTTTGGGTCTTCATCAACATAGTTATCATAATGTACATACAGTGGGGAAAAAAAAGTATTTAGTCAGCCACCAATTGTGCAAGTTCTCCCACTTAAAAAGATGAGAGAGGCCTGTAATTTTCATCATAGGTACACGTCAACTATGACAGACAAAATGAGGAAAAAAATCCAGAAAAATCACATTGTAGGATTTTTAATGAATTTATTTGCAAATTATGGTGGAAAATAAGTATTTGGTCAATAACAAAAGTTTCTCAATACTTTGTTATATAACCTTTGTTGGCAATGACACAGGTCAAACGTTTTCTGTAAGTCTTCACAAGGTTTTCACACACTGTTGCTGGTATTTTGGCCCATTCCTCCATGCAGATCTCCTCTAGAGCAGTGATGTTTTGGGGCTGTCGCTGGGCAACACAGACTTTCAACTCCCTCCAAAGATTTTCTATGGGGTTGAGATCTGGAGACTGGCTAGGCCACTCCAGGACCTTGAAATGCTTCTTACGAAGCCACTCCTTCGTTGCCCGGGCGGTGTGTTTGGGATCATTGTCATGCTGAAAGACCCAGCCACGTTTCATCTTCAATGCCCTTGCTGATGGAAGGAGGTTTTCACTCAAAATCTCACGATACATGGCCCCATTCATTCTTTCCTTTACACGGATCAGTCATCCTGGTCCCTTTGCAGAAAAACAGCCCCAAAGCATGATGTTTCCACCCCCATGCTTCACAGTAGGTATGGTGTTCTTTGGATGCAACTCAGCATTCTTTGTCCTCCAAACACGACGAGTTGAGTTTTTACCAAAAAGTTCTATTTTGGTTTCATCTGACATTCTCCCAATCCTCTTCTGGATCATCCAAATGCATTTTAGCAAACTTCAGACGGGCCTGGACATGTACTGGCTTAAGCAGGGGGACACGTCTGGCACTGCAGGATTTGAGTCCCTGGCGGCGTAGTGTGTTACTGATGGTAGGCTTTGTTACTTTGGTCCCAGCTCTCTGCAGGTCATTCACTAGGTCCCCCCGTGTGGTTCTGGGATTTTTGCTCACCGTTCTTGTGATCATTTTGACCCCACGGGGTGAGATCATGCGTGGAGCCCCAGATCGAGGGAGATTATCAGTGGTCTTGTATGTCTTCCATTTCCTAATAATTGCTCCCACAGTTGATTTCTTCAAACCAAGCTGCTTACCTATTGCAGATTCAGTCTTCCCAGCCTGGTGCAGGTCTACAATTTTGTTTCTGGTGTCCTTTGACAGCTCTTTGGTCTTGGCCATAGTGGAGTTTGGAGTGTGACTGTTTGAGGTTGTGGACAGGTGTCTTTTATACTGATAACAAGTTCAAACAGGTGCCATTAATACAGGTAACGAGTGGAGGACAGAGGAGCCTCTTAAAGAAGAAGTTACAGCTCTGTGAGAGCCAGAAATCTTGCTTGTTTGTAGGTGACCAAATACTTATTTTCCACCATAATTTGCAAATAAATTCATTAAAAATCCTACAATGTGATTTTCTGGATTTTTTTTCCTCAATTTGTCAGTCATAGTTGACGTGTACCTATGATGAAAATTACAGGCCTCTCTCATCTTTTTAAGTGGGAGAACTTGCACAATTGGTGGCTGACTAAATACTTTTTTCCCCCACTGTATGTAATAGCATATCAGAATAAGGCTTTATTGCCTGCCTATTCACACACTTGGTGCAATTATGTGTGCTATTTTGTGATGACAGGACACTGTTTTGTCGCCATAGGCAGTTTAAAATCATTATAATATGCTACTGTTGAGATAAGAATGATCCTGATTGGTTAGGATATGGTTAACGATGTAAAAGTTGGGTGGAGTTGAGTCTCTCTCACACACACACACACACACACACACAAATACTAGCAATTTAGTTTGGATCTTAGTCGTTGGCATTAAAGTTGTCCAAGGAGAATGTGTAGAAGTGTTGTGAAGATTCCACATCTACTGTTGTGTTGGATGGCTAATGCAGAGTTTGGTCTACTGTGGAGTTGGATGGCTCACTGACCTTGCTCTTGTGTTCGTATGAAATCCAACAGCCATTTCACATAAACATGTCAGAAGTGAACATGGGAAGACGCAAGGAGAAGTGTGAGAATTGCACTAAACAGGTAAGCCCGTGGAATGTTTGTGGTTTCACTATGCAGTGTGGAAGTGGCTCTCTGCAACAGAAATAGTCCATCCAATCGTATCTGTCCCAGTTGTTTGAGTGCGTGACTTTTAGCATATGATAGTCAAACATTTTATACTGAGTCCAATTCTAACCTCGATTGATGTATTGATTTGTCATTTCCAGTGCAACAAGAAACAGAGTAGTGAAGGCATTCTGGAGAAAGATGGAGCCAACGGAGAGGTCCCTTCCTCCTCGCCTCCCCTCCAGCAGCAGGTGTTGCTGAGTGCCTGTCTGTCCTGTGAGGGCTGTGTGTCCGAGGAGGAGAGCCTAAAGATCTCCCAACAGAACCTGGAGGAGGTGGCCCGCGTCCTGGGCCTCAACAAGGTACTACTGGACCACCAGGCTACCTGGGACGTATTCCATAGGCTGAAACAGGGAGGGACTACCTGGACGTATCCAATAAGAACAGGCTGAAACAGGGAGGGACTACCTGGACTTATCCAATAAGAACAGGCTGAAACAGGGAGGGACTACCTGGACTTATCCAATAAGAACAGGCTGAAACAGGGAGGGACTACCTGGATTTATCCAATAAGAACAGGCTGAAACAGGGAGGGACTATCTGGACTTATCCAATAAGAACAGGCTGAAACAGAGAGGGACTACCTTATAAGAACCACATTTTTTACTAAATGTGTTGTGAGGTGGTCCCTAATGAATATGACCCTGGACACCTCACATGATTAGCCTTCCTAAGCACTTGGGTCGTCATTAGTTACCACAGCCACAAAGTCATAAACCTCGCCAATTTCTCTTTGCTTCTTAAAATTGTATTTTACACCTAACCTTAAAGGTGCAATATGCAGAAATCGCTCTGCCATTTCCTGGTTGCTAAAATTCTAATAGTTCGCCTAATTTCAGTTTATGTGTAGAGAATCATTGTACTATTTAACTGCTGTAAAATATATTTTCAAAACCCCTAAATATAGTATTATAATCTCTTTGAAGCTGGTTTACAAAACTGAAAGTAAAAGATGCAAAAATGAATCTTAAGAATGGGAAGCATAGAAATAGCACACATAGAACAGATCTACCGCTTTTTAGACTTGCTTTCAATGAGAATGGCATTGTGGCTATGCTATCTAGTGGAAGCCAAGCGCTTGTGGAGATCTGAGAGGTTTTGTGATGTCAATGCTTCAATGGTAGCTAAAGAGACAAGGGTATATTGGGTTATCTTTGCTGTACTTTCCAGATCACCTCATGTCAGGTGAGTTTTGATATATGTTCTTATTGCTGGTCTTTTTGCCTGCCATGCGGACTGATTGTTTGGTTAAACTTTGTTTCACTTCACTGAAATGTATGGGGCATTCAATGTGGATGCCAGGCAAATGGTCTCTCTCTTCCTGGTCAAAGTGTGACATGTCTCTCTCCCTCTGTTTATCATTGCAGAAGTGTGATGTGTCCAAACACAAGGTCCTGGTGGTGTCAGTGTGTCCCCAGTCTCTGCCTTTCTTTGCTGTAAAGTTTGGTCTGGACATTCCTGAGGCTACACACAAACTCTGTGGCTTCCTCAAGAGCCTGGGTAAGTGAGTGTGTATCTGTGTCTCTCGGTCTTCTCATCAAATCGTCTGTAGTGTCCAAACCTTCAGACGAGTCACAAGACTCGTCTGAAGGTCCCCCGGTACCAGTTGAAAAAATGTACGGAAGTACAGTACCAGTCAAAAGTTTGGACACACCTACTCATTCCAGGGTTTTTCTTTATTTTTACTATTTTCTACATTGTAGAATAATAGTGAAGACATCAAAACTATGAAATAACACATATGGAATCATGTACAGTGGCTTGCGAAAGTATTCACCCCCCTTGGCATTTTTCCTATTTTGTAGCCTTACAACTTGGAATTAAAATTGATTTTGGAGGACGTTGTGTCATTTGATTTACACAACATGCCTACCGCTTTGAAGATGCAAAATATTTGTTATTGTGAAAGAAATAAGACAAAAAAACTGAATTTGAGCGTGCATAACTATTCCCCCCAAGTCAATACTTTGTAGTGCCATCTTTTGCAGCAATTACAGCTGCAAGTCTCTTGGGGTATGTCTCTATAAGCTTCGCACATCTAGCCACTGGGATTTTTGCCCATTCTCCAAGGCAAAACTGCTCCAGCTCCTTCAAGTTGGATGGGTTCCGCTGGTGTACAGCAAAGTCATACTACAGATTTTAAATTGGATTGAGGTCTGAGCTTTGACTAGGCCATTCCAAGACATTTAAATGTTTCCCCTTAAACCTACTCGAGTGTTGCTGCAGCTGGAAGGTGAACCTACGTCCCAGTCTCAAATCTCCGGAAGACTAAAACAGGTTTCCCTCAATCATTTCCCTGTATTTAGAGCCATCCATCATTCCTTCAATTCTGACCAGTTTCCCAGTCCCTGCCGATGGAAAAACATGGTGTTCTCGGCCTTTTGGGTTTGCACCAGAGAAAGCGTTTTCCTTTATGGCCAAAAAGCTCAATTTTTGTCTCATCTGACCAGAGTACATTCTTCAATATGTTTGGGCAGTCTCCCACATGCCTTTTGGCGAACACCAAACGTGTTTGCTTACTTTTTTCTTTAAGCAATGGCTTTTTTCTGGCCACTCTTCCGTAAAGCCCAGCTCTGTGGAGTGTACGGCTTAAAGTGGTCCTATGGACAGATACTCCAATCGCTGTGGAGCTTTGCAGCTCCTTCAGGGTTATCTTTGATCTTTGTTGCCTCTGATTAATGCCCTGCTTGCCTGGTCAGTGAGTTTTGTTGTGTTGTCATATTCTTTCCATTTTTTATAATGGATTTAATGGTGCTCCGTGGGATGTTCAAAGTTTGGGATATTTTTTTTATAACCCAACCCTGATCTGTACTTCTCCACAACTTTGTCCCTGACCTGTTTGGAGAGCTCCTTGGTCTTCATGGTGCCGCTTGCTTGGTGGTGCCCCTTGCTTAGTGGTGTTGCAGACTCTGGGGCCTTTCAGAACAGGTGTGTGTGTGTGTGTGTATATATATATATATATATATATATATATATATATATATATACTGAGATCATGTGACACTTAGATTGCATACAGGTGGACTTTATATAACTAATTATGTGACTTCTGGAGGTAAATTGGTTGCACCATATCTTATTTAGGGGCTTTATAGCAAAGGGGGTGAATACATATGCACGCACCACTTTTCTGTTATAAAAATTTTTCCTTTCACTTCACCAATTCAGACTATTTTGTGTATGTCCATTACATGAAATCCAAATAAAAATCAATTTATATTACAGGTTGTAATGCAACAAAATAGGAAAAACGCCAAGGGGGATGAATGCTTTTGCAAGGCACTGTAGTAACCCAAAAAGTGTTAAACAAATCAAAACATATTTTATATTTGAGATTATTCAAATAGCCACCCTTTGCCTTGATGACAGCTTTGCACACTCTAGACATTAGGAGTTGGGGTTAGGGGGGGAAATGATTTTGATTGTGAATCAATTGATGGTCCCCAAAAAGTCCTCACAAGTATAGTAAAACAAATGTGTGTGTGTGTGTGTGTGTGTGTGTGTGTGACTTAGAACACAGTGTGTATGACTTAGTACAACACAGCGTGTGTGTGTGTGAACTATGCGTGCAGTACATTCATAGGCATCTACCATACCAGATGAATCTTCCTCTTCCTCTTCCTCCTGTAGGAGTGCAGTATGTGTTTGATACTACTCTAGCAGCAGGGTTCAGTATTCTGGAGAGCCAGAGAGAGTTTGTTCAGAGGTACCGCAGGAGGAACCATGATAACCACGCCCTGCCCATGTTCACCTCCTCCTGTCCAGGTAATAGTAACACATTGTCCCTCCTCTCTCCTCTTCCTGCCCTTCCTCCTCCTCCTCCTCCTCTTCCACCTCCCTCTGCGCACGCACGTACACACACACACACACACGCACACGCACACGCACACACACACACCACTACCTGAGTATAAAATGTTAAACGGCTTTGTTGTGTCTCAGTGTAACATTTGTGTGTGCTGTTTGAGGTAAGTGTGATTAGTATTAAACATGCGCTAAAATAGCTAAAGAAAAAGTTGCTAAAATTCTAATAGTTCGCCTAATTTCAGTTTGTGACAAAACAAGCAAGTGTAGTATAAGGAATCATTGTACCATCTAAACCGCTGTGAAATATAATTTCCATAACCAAAAGTATTGTATTTTCAGCTGTTTTGAAACGGATGTACAAAACTGAAAGTAAAAGAAACAAAAACGAAACTTAAGCACGGGAAGCATAGAAATAGCACACATAGAACATATCTACTGCTTCTTAGACTTGCTTTCAATGAGAATGACAGATCTATAACACACATTTCTATGTGAATTTGGTCAGGTCAAAAAGTTACGTATTGCAGCTTTAAGCTATGGGTATTAATCAAATCAAATGTATTTATAAAGCCCTTTTTACAGCAGCAGATGTCACAAAGTGCTATACAGCCTAAAACCCCAAACAACAAGCAATGTAGATGTAGAAGCATGATGGCTTGGAAAAACGCCCTAGAAAGGCAGGAACCTAGGAAGAAACCTAGAGAGGAACCAGGTTCTGAGGGGTGGCCAGTCCTCTTCTGGCTGTGCCGGGTGGAGATTTTAAGAGTAAATGGCCTTTAAGGCCAGATTGTTCTTCAAGATGTTCAAACGTTCATAGATGACCAGCATGGTCAAATAATAATCACAGTGGTTGTAGAGGGTGCAACAGGTCAGCACCTCAGGAGTAAATGTCATTTGGTTTTCAAAGCTGAGCATTCAGAGGTCGAGACAGCAGGTGCGGTAGAGCGAGAGAGAGTGTCAAAAACAGCAGGTCCGGGACAAGGTAGCACCTGCTGTGAACAGGTCAGGGTTCCATAGCCGCAGGCAGAACAGTTGAAACTGGAGCAGCAGCACGACCAGGTGGACTGGGGACAGCCAGGAGTCATCAGGCCAGGTAGTCCTGAGGCATGATCCTCCGGGGGGAGAAAGAGAATTAGAGGGAGCAAACTTAAATTCACATAGGACACCAGATAAGACAGGAGAATTACACCAGATATAACAGACTGACCCTAGCCTCCCGGCACATAGACTATTGCAGCATAGATACTGAAGGCTGAGACAGGGGGGGTCGGGGGACACTGTGGCCCCGTCCGACGATATCCCCGGACAGGGCCAACCAGGCAGGATATAACCCCACCCACTTTACCAAAGCACAGCTCCCACACCACCAGAGGGATATCAACAGACCACCAACCTACTACCCTGAGACAAGGCTGAGTATAGCCCACGAAGATCTCCTCCACTGCACGAGCCCGAGGGGGCGACAAACTGGACAGGAAGATCACGTCAGTGACTCAACCCACTCAAGTGACGCACCCCTCCTAGGGACGGCATGGAAGAGCACTAGTAAGCCAGTGACTCAGCCCCCGTAATAGGGTCAGAGGCAGAGAATCCCAGTGGAGAGAGAGGAGCCGGCCAGGCAGAGACAGCAAGGGCGGTTCGTCGCTCCAGTGCCTTGCCGTTCACCTTCGCACCGATGGGCCAGACTACGCTCAATCATAGGACCTACTGAAGAGATGAGTCTTCAGTAAAGACTTAAAGGTCGAGACCGAGTCTGCGTCTCTCACATGGATAGGCAGACCATTCCATAAAAATTGAGCTCTATAGGAGAAAGCCCTGCCTCCAGCTGTTTGATTAGAAATTCTAGGGACAATAAGGAGGCCTGCGTCTTGTGACCGTAGCGTACGTGTAGGTATGTACAGCAGGACCAAATCAGAGAGAAAGGTAGGAGCAAGCCCATGTAATGCTTTGTAGGTTAGCAGTAAAACCTTGAAATCAGACCTAGCTTTAACAGGAAGCCAATGTAGAGAGGCTAGCACTGGGGTAATATGATCACATTTTTGGTTCTAGTCATGATTCTAGTAGCCGTGTTTAGCACTAACTGAAGTTTATTTAGTGCTTTATCCGGGTAGCCGTAGAGTAGAGCATTGCAGTAGTCTAATCTAGAAGTGACAAAAGCGTGGATTAGCTTTTCTGCGTCATTTCTGGACAAAAAGTTTTCGATTTGAAATATTCTTCATATGTTCGTCAAAAGAGAGATCAGGGTCCACAGTAAAGCCGAGGTCCTTCACAGTTTTATTTGAGACGACTGTACAACCATCAAGATGAATTGTCAGATCCAACAGCAGATCTCTTTGTTTCTTGGGACCTAGAACTAGCATCTCTGTTTTGTCCGAGTTTAAAAGTAAAACATCTGCCACCGTCCACTTCCATATATCTGAAACACAGGCTTCCAGGGTAGGCAATTTTGCGTCTTCACTATTTTTCATCGAAATGTACAGCTGTGTGTCGTCCGAATAGCAGTGAAAGTTGACATTGTGTTTCCAAAAGACATCACCAAAAGGTTGAATATATATATATATATATATATATATATATATATATATATATATATATATATATATATATATATATATATATATATATATATATATAGTGAAAACAATAGTGGTCCTAAAACGGAACGTTGAGGACAAACCATCCACAGAGACGAACTGACATCTTTCCTACAGATAAGATCTAAACCAGGCAAGAACTTGTCCGTGTAGACCAATTAAGGTTTCCAATCTCTCCAAAAGAATGAGGTGATCGATGGTGTCAAAAGCAGCACTAAGGTCTAGGAGCAAGAGGACAGATGCAGAGCCTTGGTCTGATGCCATTAAATGGTCATTTACCACGTTCATGAGTGCAGTCTCAGTGCTATGATGCGTTTCGTAAACATGATTTTGTCTTCAGGAAGGCAGTGAGTTGCTGAGCAACGTTATTATATTACTATTTATTTTTTGAGGAATGTGAGATTCGATATAGGCCGATTAGTTTTTTACATAATGGTTGGACCCAGCTCCCATTTGAAAGTAGAGATAGCAGAGCTGGGCTGGGAGAGACAGAGCTGGGAGGGAGAGAGAGAGACAGAGCTGGGAGGGAGGGAGGGAGGCAGAGCTGGGAGGGAGGGAGGGAGACAGAGCTGGGAGGGAGAGAGAGAGACAGAGCTGGGAGGGAGGGAGACAGAGCTGGGAGGAAGGGAGAGAGACAGAGCTGGGAGGAAGGGAGAGAGACAGAGCTGGGAGGAAGGGAGGGAGACAGAGCTGGGAGGAAGGGAGAGAGACAGAGCTGGGAGGAAGGGAGAGAGACAGAGCTGGGAGGAAGGGAGGGAGGGAGAGAGACAGAGCTGGGAGGAAGGGAGAGAGACAGAGCTGGGAGGAGAGAGACAGAGCTGGGAGGGAGGGAGAGAGACAGAGCTGGGAGGAAGGGAGAGAGACAGAGCTGGGAGGGAGGGAGAGAGACAGAGCTGGGAGGAGGGAGAGAGACAGA